CTCTTGTGTACCTCTTGCGTACCTCTTGAGTACCTCTTGCGTACCTCTTGCGTACCTCTTGAGTACCTCTTGAGTACCTCTTGTGTACCTCTTGCGTACCTCTTGAGTACCTCTTGTGTACCTCTTGCGTACCTCTTGAGTACCTCTTGTGTACCTCTTGAGTACCTCTTGTGTACCTCTTGCGTGCCTCTTGCGTACCTCTTGAGTACCTCTTGTGTACCTTTTGCGTACCTCTTGAGTACCTCTTGTGTGCCTCTTGCGTACCTCCTACGTACCTCCTACGTACCTTTTGCGTACCTCGTGCGTACCTCCTACGTAGTTCTTGCGTACCTCTTACGTGCCTCTTCAGTACCTATTGCGTACCTTTAGGATGTATATATACGTACCTACGTACCTCTTACGTACCTCGTGGATGTATATATACGTACCTCTTGAGTAGCTACCTCTTGCGTGCCACTTGCATGTATACATACGTACGTACGTTCCTCCTATGCACCTTCGTACCTTCTAAGTACGTTCTTTTATTAAATCTTCTGTTAAAGAACGTTGGTACGTTCAGGGTACGTTCAGGATACGTTAGAGGTACGTTCAGGGTACGTTAGAGGTACGTTCAGGGTACGTTAGAGGTACGTTCAGGGTACGTTAGAGGTACGTTCAGGGTACGTTAGAGGTACGTTCAGGGTTCGTTGGAGGTACGTTAGTACTAGGTACGTTGATGAAGTCATTCTCTTCTCCCAACGTTTGCGTTTAACTCTATTGATTTTCGTAAAGACTATATATTTGTGCAACAGAATAACCGAAATATTTCAGAAATATATTTTTTTCTTTTTAAATTCGTTGGCTTCAGAAGCGTCTTCCGCTAACTTTTTCTGTTCTTTTTTTTCAGAGATTCTGGAAAATATAATACATATAAAAATATTTATTAGTTACCGGTACTATAAATCAACGAATGAAAGTTAATCTTTTGTAAAATACTATGTATAGTAATTGAAAATTGAGTTGATTTTGATTAGCATCGTCGGTATGAGTTCGTCGTCAAATAGCGACCATGCAGACAAACCAAGCTCTCCGCGAGTCAGGTGACGTGTGGTGACGTGTGGTGACGTGTGGTGGCGTGTGGTGTCGTGTGGTGTGTGTGGTGACGTGTGGTGACGTGTGGTGACGTGTGGTGTGTGTGGTGACGTGTGGTGTGTGTGGTGACGTGTGGTGTGTGTGGTGACGTGTGGTGTGTGTGGTG